ATTACAAATAACTTCATTTCTGGACATTTATGGTTTGATTTCTTTGTATGTATGGATCACTTGGGTTGTTACCGACATCTGGTGAAAATTTCATGTCACCCTATGTAAACATCAATGACAAGTTAAGATTTACTTCATTTTGCACTTTGTGTTTGTGTGTGTAGCCCTCACAAAGATCGCTATGTTCGTATGTATATATGTACGTACGTACTAATTACTCAGGTACATCAAGAATCACTAACACAGACCCTGCGTGTGACCAGGTGTCAGCGTCTCCATGTCTGTTAGCGCTGATCAGCAGCGCAGCTACGARCTAATGTAATGTCAACTTTTAAAAAAGTAACCAGAGTTGTTTGTGAACTTAAAACACCATAAATCCAGGCAGAACGAGCTGCTGTTAACCCAAAAGCTGAGCACGCTCCTCTCTTCACCGCTCTGAGCTGCAGCAGGAGCATTAACCCTTTAGGGCCCAGATTTAAATGTGGTAAATAATTTATTTTCAGTGATTGAGAGGAAGTATTTTTGGATAGTGTCATTTTTTAACTGTTGTCTTTTATATCTGCAAGAGTTATGAGTTCTTCTGAAGTGTTACAAAAACAATTTGTAGAAGCAGGACATGATTTGAGGATTTTCACTGAATATTTTCTCTTACACGTGTTACAGAAGTAAGAAGAAGCAGGTTTTATTTTGAATAAACATAATAAACATGTTCATTCCTTCAAAACTGTCAAATATCTTTACAAAATACATTAAACTGATTCAGATTAGCATAAAATAAACAATGTTCTGTGATTCCTTAAACCTAACTGCTGTCATCAACACGTAAAGCTTCTCCCTTGTGTCCTCGATTCATTCGGTGATAAATCTCTGTTGTGTTGTGAACCTCTCAGGACAGACGGTGTTTGACCTGGTCACTGATTCAGCCATGAAGCTGTGTCTAGAAGGCAACAATCATCGAGTGAGTGTTCACCAGAGAGTCAGTCAGAGTGGATTTGTTTTGCACACTGCTGATGTTTTTCATCTGTGGCCTCCGCAGGGTTTAACCCGTCATGTCAAGCAGTTTGAAGGGCCTCTCTGGAAGGTAAACGTCTGAGAACTGTGGTTGCTGTGAAATTACGAGTCGACTGGAAAGTTTGATAACATTTCTTAATCTCACAGACAGCCTGCTGTTACAGAGAGCTTAAACTGATGAGTCATATCTTTTGAAAGTATAGTTAATGTTCTGTCAGATAGTTATTAATGATTTGTACCTGATAAGCCATCAGGCTTAAGGCCCTGTCACACTAGACCACTTATGCCAACTTAGGAAACATTTTTTGTCTAAATTGATAATAAAAGTTGTATATTCAATCAGTTTGTTAGAGTTACAGTATGTACACACCTAAAAGAAGCTTCCGGTTGATTTTTTCAATTCTATCTTCRACGTAGATGTCTTTAAAATTTTTATAAGTTGTCTCAAACGCATTAGTGTGACAGGGCCTTTAGAGCCCTCAGTCTTCCTCCAGACTAAACTAATGGCTAACCAAATAAGAGCATCCATTTTAATTGTTTTACTTTAGTTTGTTGTTTTGTCGGCCGAACACTTGTGTTCTTGCGTCTATGCTGAGCATAAACCCACTGATTTAGATCAGGGGTTCTGAACCTTTTTGACCTCTGGGCCCAATTTGTTGAACATAAAGTGACACGAGGTCCAGTCAGACATTACCAATGTATGGATCAAAATGATAATTATTATGAATCTTGGTTTAATTTTTATTGTATTTGCATTATAACTAAATTAGGGGTGTCCCGATACCAGTATCGGTATCGGGTCCGATACCAGCATCAAGTACACGTACTCGTACTCGTAAAAGCCGGTCGATACTTTTAACCGATACCACTTTTGTTCCTCCTGTGCTGCGCTGTACAAAGGGTAAACAACAATCCATACCAGGCGGGGGCGCTAATGTAC